CAAGCCGGAAAACTCCTGACTTTGAAAAGAGGCATTTTGGAGCAGAGAAAGGATCAATTACTTTCTTCTAAGCTATATTGGTTAGATGTTTTTTGTCACTAGAACTCCAGAAAAGAAGTAAGCTTGCATCTTGTTCCCATGAGAGACCGTAACAATTTATGTTAGCATGATGACCTGTGGTATAAAAGAACAATGGTCACATTGTTATTGTTGTGTGCCTTCAAGTCATTTCTGATTTATGGCAACCCTCACGCAAACCTATCATAGGGTTTTTTTGGCAAGTTTCTTCAGAGGGGTTTGCCACTGCCATTCTTGAAGCTGAGAGAGTGTGATTTAGCCAAGGTCAGTGGTTTTACATGGCTGAGCCAGGATTCGAACCCTGGCCTCTGAGTGTCCTAGTCCAACACTCAAACCATTACACCATGCTGCCCATAACTAACTTATCATGTGGTTTATTTTAAAACTCCACTTAGCAAGTATGCAATACATATTTCTATCCCTATTCCATTATTTCATCCTCTATGACTAATTCTCTTCCTTTCATACAGGTGCTTGCTGAATATTTTCAACTGCCATTTATTTATTTTTCTTATGGCTCTACATGGGACCCTTGTATCTTTGTCAGAAGCTATTAGAATATTTAACTTTTCCTGGTGGGCTCATATGTTTCAAAAGAGGCCAGCCAGAAGTTGTTGGGTTCAAAGAAAGAGCTATTTTCTTTCTAACTGTCCCTCTTTGGGACTTATGACTCTCCAGAAGGACAAAGTACTACTCCACCATCAAAGCTCTCTGGATGCTTTGGAGTAGAACTCAATGCTCTCCTTATCATACTGAAGGGAGGAGCTGAAGGTCAAAAGTTGACATCTGCTTGATTTAATATACAGTGATCAATACCTCCATGAATTACTAACCAACTCTATTCATCCATGGAATGCCTATTAAGGATGAACTGCAAAGCAGAGAGAAATATATGTGATCTTTGTTCTTCCTTTGGGACATGGAAATTAATGGGACTTTCTCATGGTGGAGACTAGTCTCTGGACAATGATAGTTCTATAAAGGCATGGAAAGATGACTGACAAGTGAATCGGTTGACTAGATTTTGCACAGATTGCATTATTACCGTGTTGCATTGAATCATTTACTTTTAAAAAGTAACAACAACAACAACAACAACAGTCATCTAGTTGCAAGGCAGTGGTCAGTCTGGAAGTAATCATAGCATGGATACCATGACCAAAATTTGTGTTGGTGGCCTGCATGGTTGCATGGATGCATGCATGTAGCCTGGGATCATTTTAAGTTTGTTGTGAATTTAGGTATCTAGTACTCATTTGTGCAACACCTTGAATCTGGGAAGGTGACAACTGCTCTTTTCTCCCAACTACAGAAAGACAGCCAAACACTGCCCTGAGACCTCACAATCTCTCTCAGCCACTAAATGACTGGGGAGAAGTTAAAATCCACCCCCTGGAAAACTGTCTTCTACAGAAGATGGTGGCAGAAGCAACAGCCCAACAGACTTGCACATGCTAAGTCTTTATACTCTATCCATACTACACTGGATCCTAGCTCAAATCTTAACAATATTTTGTATCTGTGTGGCCTTATTTACTGCAACTGCTCATTGTTTTGAAGTTGTTAACTCCAGCAACATAGAACATCAATTAAGCATCTAGAAACAGAGTTGAGCCATCCAAAGAAAAGAGGTAGGCAGAGAGAACAAAGGAAGGAGAACATAGCAAATGCTAGGAGTGTAGGTGTGAGCAATGTTTAATATCTCTCCCCTGTGATGCTAGAAATATGGGAATGAAAATGCATTTAACTGAAGGTGGAATACATATGGGGGGCAATGCCCTCATTTTCCCACTCACCCATGGTTGCACAAGGCATCGTAAGGATGCAGGCTCTTCCAAACATGGAATATCCAGTACAGGTGGACTCCATGGTGGGCTTTGCTGGCAAAATCTGACCCATAGGCCTGGGTTTTGCTGCCATTCCTTATGGTTTGTTCCTGTCCTCATAGGGACTCACTCTCCCTCTCTTATCACACCTACACATAATAGAATAAAGAGCTGGAGGAAAATAGAAATCATGCACTATGTTTCTCTTGCTTGTTATTTATGCAAGCCATTTCCATGCAGGGAGGGGAGTCAGTGGAAGAGAGTCTTCAGATACAGAAGCTTATCTGCTCTTTGCCCTGAAACCATTTGTTGCCCTAAAATGCTGGCAGCAGAGTGGTGGTATTTAATCTGGTGTTCAAAAAACAAATGTCGCCCAAACCAGCTCGGGAAATTAAACTATTTCAAAGCCTTAGGACTTTTTCCCTTCTGCTTCGAGTTGCATCCGGTGCATTTGTTCTTCATTCATGCCATGCTTTCTGGATCTGGTTAATGTTATTGTTTATTTTATTCCCTATGGAGTGTATGGAGAATCTAGTACATTTGATTGCTCTTTCTTTCCTATCTATTAAAAAAAAAGGATGTCACTTCTATAATACAGTGGGTCCTTAGTATCCTCTGGGGTTTGGTTCCAGGACCCCTGTGCATACCAAAATCTATGGATGCTCAAGTCCCATTATATACAATGGCTTAATAAAATGGTGTCCTTTATATAAAATGCCAAAATCAAGCTTTGCTTTTTGGAATATATTTATATATATATATATATAAATATTTTCAAGCCATGGATGCTTGAATCCTTGGCTAAAGAATCCATGGATACAAAAGGCAGACTGTAGTCATAGTAGTAGTAGTAGTAGTAATAGTAATGCAGCACACATTTGCAGCCTGTGTGTGTATAGAGACCAAGAGTGTATCTACACTATAGAAATATTGCAGTTTGCCACCACTTTAAGTGTTATAGCTCTATCCTATGGAATCCTGGGATTTGTAGGATGTTTAGCCTTTTCTGCCAAAGACTGCTGATACCTATACCTTGAGTCCCAGGATTCTGTCATCCGGTCTGCTCACACCAGAACCAAGCTTTGGGCCATGCATCATCCAGTCTCCCCACCAAGGGAATGCAGGGAGGCTATTGCATTTGGCCCAGACAGACAGGGCCCTTGCCTAGCAGTAGGGCCAGCCCTGTTTGAAAGGATGCTTTTCCTTGAATGGAACTTTTCAAGAACCTGAGAAATTTCTTTCCGAGCCAGGCTTAGGCAAACATCCATAACATCCTTGAAGCTAGGTCAATGTCTTCTTTGTCAATGTCAATGTCTTCTTTGCACGCTGGAGTGCCTTTGATCCAAGTCTATGACCAAGGACAATCTGAGAAAAAGTTAGCTTTTCTTCTCCTGGTGCCAGTAATTGATAGTCCCCTGGTAGTTTTATCTTTCACGTTGCAATTGGCATCATTAGTCACATGTTATTACTTCTGCTCACCCATTGGCTGAATTGGCCTTATTAATTTCACAGAAAGGGCTAGAGAATTAAGAAGACTTGCTTTGGGCAAAAGGAACAAATAAGCTGAACCCTGGGATTCCTAAGAAAGCTTTAATCTATTTTCATTCAGGAGAAGACAGTTCTTTCTTGAGGCATCGGTTTCTACAAGGCTACTGTATGATTTATTAGCTCGGCGCACAGTTTTAATGTAATTTTCTTCCATTGTGTTCGCATGGGCCCTTGAGCTACCTCCAAAGGCCTCAGTCCTGAAACTGCTGACTTCAGAATACAATACTTCCACTGCAGTCAAATCTATGTATGATTTGTTCATCTGTTTCGGGTCGGTCCCGTGGGATTTTTATGGAGCCTGCCTTCCTGCTGAGCACAATACAATAAAGAAATGCTTTTCCATGTTGTAAAAAAGCTCACCAGCCCATGATAGGGAAGGGTACGCAGGAGAACTATTGAAACGTAGTGCCCTGGAGACTTTGTAAGCCAGTAAACCCTTGGCTAAAAATCTTCCTTCTGGCATGAATTGCCATATAGCCTTTCGGATGTGCATCTCTCTCACACATATTCTTTGTATCTCCACTCCATCTCTCTCTTTTTGTCTTTCCACCATCTACACTCTGAGGATTATCTATCTGCCTTACTAGGCCATTGTAGGAGTAACTGAGATGCAGGAGCAGCCAGTGGATCTGTTGCTATGGGAGTGATGAATTGTTGTTGTCAACTGCCTTCAAGTTGACTTCAAACTCTGGCGATCCTGTGAATGAAGCATCTTCATGATATCCTATCCACAACAGCCCTGCTCTGTTCCTGCAGACATAGGTCCATGTCCTCTTTAAGTCTATCCATCTGGTGCACAATCTTCCTCTTTTCCTATTGCCTTCTATCTTTTGAAGCATCGTCATCTTTTCTCATGAACCATGCCTTCTACAACAGCCTCAATTTAGTCATCCTGGCTTCCAGGGAGAGTTCAGGTCTGATTTGTTCTTGTATTCACACGTTCGTCTTTTTAGCTATCCACAGTATCTGCAGTACTCCAGCACCACACCTCAAATGAGTTGATTTTCTTTCTATCAGCTTTCTTCACCATCCAGCTCTCCCTGCCATACATAGTGATAGGAAATACCATTGCATAAGCAATCTACATTTTAGTGTTCAGTTGTACATTTTTATACTTTAGGATCTTGTCTAGTTCTTTCATAGCTGCCCTTCCCAATCCTAGTCTCTGACTTCTTAACCCCAGTTTCCATTTTGGTCACTTCTTGATTCCAAGTATGGGAAGTCTTTAACTACAAGTATTTCAACTTCCTCATTATCTATATTGAATTTGTGTAGATCCTTTAGGGTCATTATTTTAGATTTTTTTAAAAAGGTTCAACATTAAACCTGCCTTTGTACTGTCTTCTTTGACTTTCCTTAGTAATTGTTGTTTTCACTAGTATAATGGTGTCATCTGCATATGTTAGGTTGTTGATATTCCTTTCTTCAAGCTTCATTTCTCCTTCCTCCAAGTCTAAGCCTGCACTCACAGTTTTATACTTCTGCATCCTGTGGTTGTTCTGGGTTGTAGGGGAACTACCTTAGTGCTGAACTTATGCTGACAACAAGCCTTTCAATGGCTCTATTCAGTTGGGAGCAGCTGCAGGAGGATCAGCTGTAAAATTGAGAGTACTGGATCCACTGGTCATCCCTTCTGAAACCGCATATGTAAGGTAATCTGAACACTCCCTAAGTGCTTTGAATGCTCACTAAGTGTTATTAATGCTAAGGGTGAAATTTTTGTTGTTGTTTCATGCTCACAAAAGAGTTTCAGAACTTTTATCCCTGCTGGGTGAGGTTTTGTGAGATTTTGCAC